CCGGGTGCCACGGGGTCAGGCGGCCAACATGGCAGAAGAACGCCTGACTTGCGACGCTGCTGTGGCACCAACCCCAAAAGGAGCGCAGCGGCCGAGGTAGGCTCAGGGCAGAGCATAGCATGTGTCGAGTAGCACAAAGCAATTGTGCGAAGTGACACAGAGCTAGCGTCGACCGAAGGTCGGGCTCAAGTTTTTTTTTTCACCTGAGACTTGCTAGCAGCACCAAGCAGGCAGAAGAACGCCTGACTTGCGACGCTGCTGTGGCACCAACCCCAAAAGGAGCGCAGCGGCCGAGGTAGGCTCAGGGCAGAGCATAGCATGTGTCGTAGTGTTTTTGTGTGAATAATGTTCAGCACTTTTTGGCATGAGCTGTCAGTTCTTTTGTAGCCAACGAAGCTTCAGAGAAGCACGAGGATCGACATATTGATTTAAGCGAACACCCTGATGATGTTCACAGAAATCCTTGAATCACTCACAAAACGTCACACCCGGCACAAAGACAATACACCATATATCCCCTACCTTCCCTTGGAACATGAAAAGAGTTCGGTGAACCTGCTGTTGCAGTCTATATCATCTAAAATCCTGAGTAAAACCATGGTTCTTCGGTCCAAACAGGGTGTCCCACCCGACGGTGTCCGCCTCGGGTCATGGCTTCTCCCGCCTGCCGGGGGCAGGCCGACGACGGTGCGGTGTCCGCGCGCCACACCCATGACGCAGAGGGAATCGGTGCCGACCCTCCGACCCTCCGACAGTCGGAGAAGTCAGTGGAACAGTCATGCCCAAACGCATCCAAGTCTCGCGTGCTTTGGGGTTGGGGGCAATAGGATTGGTTGGTGTTGGTGTGGTGGTGTTGTTCCTTTCTTCGCCAGTTGAGAACGTCTCTTGAGACACCCACCCACGGACATGGTATGAAAACGGACATGGCGGAACCTTCCGTCTTCCGGCGGTCAGCTGTCCCGGCGGAAGCCATCGGAACCCGGACGAGGACGGTACCCCAGACGCTCCATGGGACTGCTATATATGCCGATCAGGCCAGGGGTGGTGGTTTGGGAGGTCTGTTTGGGGCGGCATATATAGCAGTCCCATGGAGTGTCTGGGGTAAAAAAAAAACGCCCGTGGAGCGGTTTGTCGGTCGGTGCGGCCGTTGTGATCGTTTTCCGGACACGACCGACACGACCGAAAACACCAAATCGGCTGGAAGAAGTGAGAGGAGACCTACACCCCCAAAGCCGAGCGTCTTGGCTCGCCGGTTTTTGGGGGGGCCAGCCAGTGTGATATGGAACTTCATACGTACCAGGCTATTCATAGACACCCCCCCCTGTGGTTCCGGGTCCTGGTAGATGGGCCCTGGCGTTTGGACCGCCCAAAAGACGTGGCTTGTTCGGGAAAAAACGGTGCTGTTGGGTGAAGCCGTGGGCAATTCAAGGAATCATCGGTAACATACTTTGATGTAGACTCTTGACCCGTAGCTTCCGCCCCCCCCGATTTGGAGGGTTAAAACCCCTTCTTGGCAGGTGTGACGGATCATTTGGGGTCGCTGTGCATGGTGAGGCTCGCCTCTCATGACTCCACGTACCATGAAGCTCCTGTGCATGGTGAGGAGCATGAAAACATGATGATGAGACCCTAAAGAATCTGCTCAACAAGCCGTGACCTGAACTTCGCCTGACCAAACATGGGTGACGTCTTGAACTACGCATGACGTCTCGGACTCTGGCAGTCCGAGCGGAGGGGGGTTCCTGCACCGGACTGCAGCGAGCGGGGGTTCCCAAAGTGGGGGGAGCCGTTTCTTTTTTCGGTGGACCAGCTTCGTTGCTCAATGGATGGCGAACCAAACCCGCGCGTGTTGTTGTCTGCCCGCGAAGCAAAACGCTTTGACTTCCGTGGATGGAACCCGATGGAACGCCTCGACATAAGAGATAGAGTGAAAACAGATCGCCCTAATATATACAAGTCCAGCTCGACGACTTTTTGGGACCGCCAAAGTAAAGAAATTCCTAGACTCGGATCATCGTCGACTGTCGACTTTCAGGGATATATCGGTCTTTCGGGTCTTTCTTTCCAAAGAACAGGTCTGTTTCAGATTCCGGAAGTGCCTTCGTTTTTGGAGGGTAGGGTCTGACAGATCAGGGTCCCACGCACATGACATGACTTGCCGAAAATCACATGACATGTTTTATTGTTGGATGGAAGGCACCGGCACCATTGAATGGATGTTGGATGTTTGCAGTAAAAGCACGACTGGCACGACTGGTTGTGTGGCAAGTTGTGTGCCAAGGGGTCAGGTCCAAGATGTCCAAGCTGTCTTTCCGGAGGAACAGTGCTGTCCTTGGTGTCATAGTAGATGGTCCATGCTTCATGTTACCCTCTGACCATCTCTGACACATGAAAGTCTCAGTGGCTTCACTGACCTACTCTATGGGTGTATCGGTGCATGAGGCTGCTACTCATCCTTTCCTTTGAAACTAAGGATGTGCAATCAAACAAATCAGCCAAGACGCTCAGCACGTCCTGTTTCTTGAGCCAAAGCATCGATCCGCACTTGTGATTTGTGCGTGTCATCCTAAAAGCATGGAGAGGTGCTTGAACATCCACACTCCCCTGCCTGCGCTGCAGGCATTCCCCGTGGACAGGTTTTTTCGTCCATCCACAAAAAGGGTTCAAGGTGCTTCATACACCATAATTGAAAGCTATCCTCAGAATCTGGATCTTCATCCGCCGAGCCGCAAGCTGCCATCACCCTTGTCGACACCCCCATCCACAGCGGCAGCGAGCCCACTTCAGCAGGCAGCAAACCTTCATCTCTTAGAGAGATCTGCCAAGCTTCCTCATTCACGTCTCTTTGATGGTCTCCCTCATGTGGCAGCTGCGGCAGTGGAAGCCTTTGATCCTCTCTCATCACCTCCCCCCGCCGCTCAAAGCTCTGCATTCGAGCTGTGTAGCCCAGGCTCAGCGTTCGCTCAGCCGCGTCTTGGCCAGGCCTCAAAGCCGCTGATGACCTGGTAGCCGAAGAACTTGACGTTATAGTGTCGTCCGTTCCCCGTTTCACATAGCGCACCTCCCGAATAAGCTCGGGTTCTGGAGGTGTGGATTCCTGAGTTGATGTGGCCTGACCAGTTGAGGAGGTCTGTGCCGTTGAAGAAGATCTTGATGATCCACTCACCATTGCCTTTGGCATACAAGGGGGCCCGGTCGATCCGCTGGTCACTGTAGACGATGGACCGCTGGTTCGAGGGTTGGAACTCTGGGAGGTCAAGGTCTCCTGAGTGGCCCCAGTGCCTGCTGGCTGCAGATCTCGAAAAACCGAGTAGCCCACCCAGACTTCATCCTGGAGAACCGCGGGGTTGTGCCCATCCTCCAATCGCCTTGGTGTAGATGTCGTTCACCATGGATCCAAAACAATATGGTCCGATGAGATTCCACTTGCATCCCATCGAACGGAGTCATCCGATGGATCGGATGGAATGGTCGCTTCCTTGGCTTCACATGGTGCCTCACCCACCAGCCATCCTGTAGCCTCGCCCAGCGATCTCTTAGTAGGAGGCCCTTGCTGCGGCAGCACTGGTCGGAATGCCGCTAACCGCAGCTGGCAGCTTCCATGGCTTTCAACGTGCGCGCCGCCCCGGGAGCCCTGCGGGCTAAGTGTTCTTGCCTGGCTTGCAGGCAATTGGAAAATGCCATCCGGTTCGTTTTCCCTGGATGGATCCTGACGGCCCTTAGCTCTTTTCTTTTCTTCTCATCTTCATGGAAAATGCCATCCGGTTCGTGTTCCCTGGATGGATCTTGACGGCCAGTGGCTCCTTTTTCTTTCTTTTCAAACATCCTAGAGAGCTTGACCACACCAGCCGCCAAACCCAACAAGCGAGCAATCCTACCAAGCATGTCCAGCAGCTTTCAACCCCATGAACTCATAGAAGGCTCGCCATGCTCTTGGCTGTGTGATCACCTTGGTGAGCAAGTCTGAAGCTAGCCTCGAGCCCGGAAGGTGGCGGACTTTCCACATGCCCATGCTCACCCGCTCGCGAAGCACGAAACACCTCAGTTTCAAATGGCGTGTGCGCCATGCCCCGTCGGGGGCTTGAAGAATCTTCAAACCCGTTTGGCTGTCGCCGTAGAGCCCCCCAATCTCATTGCTGAGTGCCCCCTGCTCCAAAATGTTGATCAACACACTGGCGGATTCGCCCATCACCACCCCGTCCAGGTACCCGCAGATCTCCGACTCCGAGCTCGAAAGGGTCGCCAAGGGCTGTCGCTTTGATTCCCATTGAATGGGAGCCCCACCATATAACACAATCACCCCCTGTTTGCCTCGGCAACCCAAAGGAGCAAAGGAGGAATCGCAGAAGACCTCCAACCGAGTCATAGACCTGTGGAAGGCGAGGTCCGAGCTCTCTTCCAAACCTTGGGGACATTGACCATACCTCAACACCATATTGGAGGTTGCAGTGATATAGCCCAAAACACGCGGCCCATATTCACAAACTCGAGCTGGATACTTACTGACTCCTCTCCCAATCCAAGCCACCGCAAAGGCCAGATCAGGCCCGCCAACCCGAACTTCCTTGGCTCCATTGGATGATTTGCTTGGCAGCCTGGACCACTGAGGCTCTTTGCACCCACCCTATCATGTCTCAAGCAGTGGTTCTGGTCGACAACCAGAGCACTTCACCGACTAAGCCCTGAGCTGCTTTGATCTGCTCCGGCGTTGGAGAAGGTTCATGGTCTCACAAAGATTGCCAGGAAGTGGTGTGGACCTCAAGGAAGCGGGCTCATGGCGGCTCAACAAATCCAATGTATATGCTTCCTGCCAATTATCAACTCATTTGTGAGACCATCCCAGGACAGTTCAAAGCCGCAATACTTCATTCACCTTCGTGGCCCACGAACTCCGGCTCCGAGCATTTCCACTCTTGAGTGATGCGCGGCAACACGGCCCGGACAACATCATCCGGCCCAACCGGCAGCAAGTCGTCAACATACACAGAATACACAGCGACATATAGCCCACCGCCTTTTCTTTTCCATCAGCTTGAGTGGCAATGACTTGCCACAAGTTTCCTTCTGGAGTGGGTCGTAGTTCATGCTGTAGACCATTGAGCTCCCACTTGAACTGCTGCAGCATAGTGTCCCTGTAGACCCTCCAATCCGCTGGACTGGCTTTGTCGATGATCCATCTTTCGTTCTCCTTTACGATGCCAGCTTCAACAAGTATACCCGTGGCGGGATCGCCACCAAGAGAGACTCCTTGGCCCGTTGACGAGGAGCAAGAAGGAACGCTGTGTTCACGTCCACCGATCCCAAAGTCCAGCCCTCATGAGCCATTTTCCGAAAGAGGCATCGCGTTCCGGCTCTTGAGATCTCTTGTTGGCCTGTTCCGGGTCGGCCAGTTCCACTCTATTTCCACATGACCATGCGAGCCCGAAGTTTTCCGAACAGAGCTTTCACCGTGGGGACGACCATGGCAGGCGCCACTTCCATCTCAGCGTAGTTGGGGCGGTTCTTCAAACCCTCCGTTGTTGTGGGTCTCAAAGCCTTGGTGTTGGAGGTCAGCGAAAGGTACTCATCAGTCAAGCGCTCCTTCCACTTCTCCAGCTCACGCCGCACTTGTTGGAGAGGAACTGTATAAGTTTGAAGCACTGCGCTTGGTCTGGAGAAAGTGCAACACCTGTGGTGGTCTCATCATTCATTGCTGCGATCTTGGACCATCGTGCTTCTTCCAGCATTCGGTGCTGCTCTTCCAGGACCACTTCCCTTGAAAACACCATAGCTTCCAACCAATGGAGCCATTCTCCATGTTCCCGTTGAGTTCCTCACTCCACAACCTCTTCAATGACCAGTGCTCCAGCAACTCCTGGTTGTGCCATTTTTCTTGCTCCAGCCAACCAGTGGTCCAGGCCTGATCCTCCCCTGTCCTACGCCTTTGTCCTCCGCCACATCTCCGCCACATCTCCGCCACGATCCTCCGCCACACCTCCGCCACAGTCCTCCGCCACCTCCGCCACGGTCCTCCGCCATGGTTTCCCTGGTAGTCGGCGATGTCCCGCTGGAAGATCTCGGCAATCTTGTAATTTTGCCCTCCCATCCCCAATCCATAGAGTTCAACGAATCAGAGTTGGGCTCAAAGTGCACGGATTCAGAATCCACCGGCTCAAAAACCAAAGCTTTCGCTCCCCCAGCCTGCATTGTAGACAAAGCAGGGTGGTATAGTGCACCGACCACACCTTCCAGGGGATCCTCCTCCACAGGGGGTTGTTTTCCATGTAGACGCCGTAGCACAGGCTGAAGCGCTTCTGCAGCGGCCATTTGTAGTTTGTGTAGTGCTTGGTCGGCGCCTTCTGCTTGAACCGAAGGCGGATCTGACATGTTGAACCATGCCACGGCGATCTCTCGCCAGCGACCCATTGGGCATAAAGGGACTAGGTCCCAAAATCTGCACGCTGCGAAACGGGTTGCTCAGTTGTCCAGAGCGGTGCCATCGCTTCGTCTTCACGGACATGGTTGATGCAAATCTCAACATCGGGTGGGTGATCACTCCAAGTCGATGCAACTGCGCTCGTAGGCGCTGCTCCGCGGCGTGCCTCAGTGCACAGACCCAAAATGTGTGTGGGAGCCCACTTTCATGTAGAAGAAGACGGGTTCGTCTCTTGATCTGCTGGACTTCAGACTCAACTCGTCCATTCCTTTTGGCATCATCTCCTCCCGTCATGGACTGCAGGAGGTCGCGAGTGTGACACCAGCGCTGAACCGGTCGAGCCATGAAAGACTTCTCACGATCACTATGGAGGCGAAAGACTTGAACCCCCAGTGATCGAAACTTGGCATACACTTTGGACAAGGCCTGCACGATGGAGCCCACCGACCGGTCCGTGGATTTGGAAATCTCCCCCTCTTCTGCATCGCCGCGACTGCAATTGAACTCCTGCGCCTCTTCCTTCGTCACCATGGCGGCATCATCCTCGAGCTCGGCAATTCTGGCACCTCCTTCATGACTTCAGGGTGGTCACAAGGTTCATCGCCTGCCCCAGGAAGATCCCCCAAAATGGGTACTGCCACCGTGCCAACCAAAGCATAGCGACAGCTCATACCAGTTCCATAGTCCTTCCCAACCTCGAAGGGGCCGCAAATGTCGACCGAGAGCACGAAGTGCGGTGAGTCGCACCCCATAGCTTCTGCGCAAACTCGGCAGCCGGATCTGAATGGGAGATGCCCTCGATGTACATGACGTCTCCAAGCGTCCATATCCAGCTTGGCCTGTCGGGTGTGCATGGCCCATTGAGCCTTGATCAGAATGTATGAGGCGTAGGCCTCCTTGGTCTAGCCAAGACGTGATCTCCGGGAAGCTCTAAAAGGACGGTGCGGTCTTCACCTCCTCCTCGTCCTTCAAGTAGGAAGCTGGATCGTGTGGAGATTCCAATAGCATTCCAACATCCTGATCCCAGCGTTTGCATTCCTGCGAACGCACCCATAGTGCCATCTGCCTGAGGCAGAGGGCGGTGTCACTGTTCACCAGGTTGAGCTCATAGTCGTGAAGGTGAGGTAAGTGCCATCGATCTGGGCCGCCCAAGATCGCAGCCACCCGGCCCTTCGAAGCCAACCTCCAAACATAGCTCCACACCTGTGGATTGTGCAAACTGTACTGCGAGCCCATCAAGGTATCCAGGTGCAGCCAAACAAAGGAATCACCTCCAATTCCATTCCATTTTTTTGATTTGGACTGCAAAAGAGGTTGATGATTACCCCCTTGGCCTTGGCGTGGGTTCGCCTCGTTCTCCTATTCCATGGAGGCTGTTCAGGTTCTCGCCCTTGGCTCCCCATCTGGCGTAGCACCTCAGGTGGTACCTCCGGAAAATGGGTGCTCCACCAAGCCAAATGCTCAGCGTCCAACTCAGTGGCTCCCTTCTCTTCCGCCTCAAACCTATCCAGTATGGAGAGAGCGCTTTGACGATCCATCACCGGGCACCCATGCCTCAACACACATGCTACTTCTCCATGGTCAGCATGTCGAATAGAACAGCCCGCTTTCCTCCATGAGATAGTGAAGCCCTTCTCAACAAAGAGACTCAAAGGGATGATGGGCTCAACCTCCGTCAACGAGAGGAGCGTGCTGTGGCTAGGATGCTTGTACAGGGTGGTAGTGCCTTGTGCTAGCTCTACTTCCACTGGACGCCAATCATCACGTTCATGTTGGTGAGCAACTCGCAACGCGTGTGTGCGCCGCCGTCCAGCAAAGCGAAGCGATCGTTGGCAGTGTCACCCCGATCCACGCTCACCTGTTTCAGTTTGACCCTTTTCATGGCCTGCAACGTCTTCAACAATGAAGTCGCTTCCGCAATCAACTCCTTGGCCAGGCCCTCCGATTTTCCACTTCCAGCAGACCCCCCGTCCTTCTTCTCATCCTCCTTGGACGGTGAAGCTGGTGAGGTTGGCGTCGTTGGTGTCGTCGATGAAGTCCCGGGCTTACTGGTTTCTTCTGTTTTCTCTGCTTGAGGCCTTCCACTCCCTTTCAACTTCCTTGGCGAAGTGGTTCTCCACGGAGCAGTGAAAACACCTGTCCGTCTTGTTGATGCCCTCCCAGGAGTGCCCAAAGGTGCAAGAATTACCACGCTTGCATCCAGCTGAACTACCCCAGTAGCGGCACGCCTGTTTTGGTTTCTGTTGCCCGTCTCCACGGCCATATCCTCCCCCCAAAACCTTGATCGTTGGCTGAGCTCCCCCCACAGGTTGAGTGCCGCCTGCAGGACTAGTAGTCTTGGTAGAAGGCGGCTGAGGCATAGTCAACGCCAAATCCTCCACTTCTGCTTGTAGGAACTCTGCGAACTCCTTGGTGGAGACCAGTGTGGGCCTGCGATCAACTTCAAGTTCTTGTCGAGCGGCTGCAATTCGAAATCCCACCTGACTTCCTCAATGCTTGGTGAGGTTCTCCACAATCTTGGACAAGGCCTGAATCAAGACCATTGAGTCCGGGATGCCGATGTGCAACTCTTCAGCTCGACAAAGCCATCCGCCCCATTCGAATGGCGCTCAAGGAGTCCTGGATGGAGTGGCCACACTTGACCTCAGTCAGACTGCGAAGCAAGTTGCCTCGTTCAGGATTTCCACCAGGCTGGTAGATGGTGAAGAGCTTGTACAGGATGGCCTGGGTAGCCACTTTCCGACTCGCCATCTCTTCTCACAGGGTCAGGAAGTGCGGCCAACAAGGTCGAGCTTGCGCGCTGGTCCAAGCGCTGGAACCGTGGGGACACCTGTTCTTCAGCTCGAACTCGTAGTCGGGCCAGCGGTGAAGCCAGGAGCCATTCATTGTACTTAATCTCAACCTCGCGCTGCGCCCATTCCCAAAACTCTTTGGATGAAGCGCTCAAGTCTCCCATCAGGGGTGTGATGACCGTGAGCCAATCCCCAAACAACAAAGCTGCGTTTTCCGCTGAAGGCGAAGGCAATTGTGGAAGCTCCAAGTTTGTCATGGCTTCTGGAAGCGAAGCAGTGACAGATTCAGCTGTCTTCATCAAAGTAGGTTGGAGAGCAGGTCCATGGTCCGGCGGTTGTCCCAACCCCGGGGGTGGTCCTCCTCCAGCCTTCGATTGATCTCCTCCTTGGTGATCACGTCGTTGTTCTCCTCCAGTACTGCGCACTGAGGTGAATGAAGCCGAATCGCCATCCGACATCTTTTTGAGCTCCCCTGCTCCTCCGCATCACGAAGAATTCGCTCCCGAAGACGTTCAACGTCACCAACACCAGGGCTTTGTTGAGGATGTCCTGAGCTTTGCGCTGCCAGTCGAACATGCCCCTCACCTTTTGCAGCCTGTTGGGTTGGTACTCCAAAATGGATTCACAGTTCCCAAGGGTCCAACTGTGGTAGCTCCATAGGGCTCCAAGACACGAGGAGGTAGATCATCTCGTACAGGTGCCATTCCTCGTGCCATTGCATATGGAGACATGCCCATTCGTTCTTTCTCACCTGACCGCAGCGCAGTGCCTGCTGCTAATCCATGGCCAGAGGCCACCAATGCCTTGTCCTCCAGGATCCATCAAGGAAGAACACTCACTAAGACCTGGAGAAGAGGGTCAAGTAGTGTGGGCGCTGAGGCCTCCACCGATTGGCGGACACCCTCCTGCAGGTGTCAATTCCAAGTGCTTGACCTCGAGGATCCACAAGAAGTTGCCTGACGTCTGGCATCATCTGACTTCCACTCGAAGCTGAGGCCGCAGGTTGGTCTACATGACGTTGTCCCGCCTCAGCGCTCAGT